GGTGGTCCTTCAAAGAGCTTGTGCTCTGATTGCCTTTTATGCAGCCACTGGCTTCTTCTAAACAAGCAGTGTTTCAAGCTGCAAGGACTTTCTTTGGGGACACATCTTTCCTGATTCTCCTGATAACAGTTAGTGAAGCACATCGCACAATGTAAACTGCAGGGTGCTAGAGGAAAGGACCCTGCCTGCTTACAGCCTATAGTTTGACAGAGGGGGGACAAAGTAAAGGGTGGAAAGCGACAGCAGGAATAGTTGGGGAAATGTTATGCAATTGTTCCATGTAAGGCTATTTCAGCGACATGTAAGGCTGGGTTAGAAGTTTGGTTGCCATAGAGGAAGCCAGTGCTTTCTTTCTGGGGACACGCAGGGTTATGCATACCCCTAAGCATTTTGTGAATCTAAGTTTGGCCTCATTGAGGGGCAGTATTTCAATATGAGTAGGAAAATGAGAGTACCCCTAAACCAGGCATAGGCAAACTTGCCCCTCCAGATGTTTTGGGACTACAGCTCCCATCATCCCTAGCTAACAGGACCAGTGGTCAAGGATGATGGGAATTGTAGTCCCAAAACATCTGGAGGGCTGAGTTTTCCTATGCCTGCCCTAAACATTTTTTTTAAAAGAAAAAACAGCACTGGAGGAAGCTATGCATACACTATATCATTCTAGGTGGGAGGTGGGCCCAAAGGCAATCCAAAAGATAACCAGTTAAAGGCAGTGAGGGACAGTGTGGGTTTTAGAGCCACACACACTGAATTCTATACCTCTGGACTGTCAGTATTTTGCAGGAGGCCTCTAAGCATATACTGGTGAATTTAGCTTTGTAGACAATTAAAGTGCTCTCTTGCCCCAGCACAACAAATCCACTTTTTAAAAAAGTTTTTGCATGTAGGAAAGTGGTGGGGAAATATGGAGTGATCAAATGATTAATGGGAAGGTGCATAAACACCCCACCAGCAAATCAGGGCAATTCCTCACTGTTGTATAACCTCCCTGCAATCAGATCAGAACAAACACCCGAAGAAGACCAGCTATAAGCTACCTTCCACATAAGCTTTGTGCTTCTAAATCAGGATGAATGCTCAATAAATAGGTCATCCAGAGGCAGTGGAAGGAGAATATTATTGGCTGGTGACTGTTTCCCATTTCATAGGGAAATTTTACAGCGAGGTGGGAGAATTTTAAACTGGAGAGGTTCTTTTTCATTTTTGTTTCATGCCAAGCTTGTCAAGAAAGTTTTGTTCTGTTTCTTGAGTGCTGGAAAATGCTGGCTGATCTCTCTCTCTCTCTCTCTCTCTCTCATTGTTGTCAAGAGGCATTCTGTCTATGAAAACTGAAAGTCACTTGGAGGGCTGTCAGTTTGCTGGGGTGGGAAGCACTGGGTTCTTTTTCCGCCTGGACCTTTGCCAGCCATTTGCTTCTTAGCATTCATGCTTGTTGTGCAAGAGAAGTTGCGCTCCATTAGAGGATGAGGCAGAGGGTAATGGGGAGGCAGTGCTGAGGACCTTGTTCCAATGAAGACTAATGATCAGCACTTCTCCCATCCTTTGCTCTCTGGGTTCATCTATAAAATTAGCTCTGGTGAGTGGAGCCTGCAACAAAATATTGTATCATCTATGCACCTACTAAGGTCCCATCTTCACTATACATTTAAAGCAGTATATTGCCACATTAACGAGTCACGGCTTCCTCCAAAGAATACCAGGAGCTGTATGTTATAGGTGCTGAGAGTTGTTCGGAGACCTCTATTTACCCCACAGAGATAAAATTCCCAGAATTCCCTGGCAAAAGGGATTGGCGGTTTAACCACTCTGAGAATTACAGCTTGGCGAGTGGGCGAGTGGGTCTCCTAACAACTCATAGCACCCTTAGTAAACTACTATTCTCAGGATTATTTGGGGAAAGCCATTGCTGTTTAAAGTGGAATGAGACTGCTCTAAATGTGCAGTGCAGATGGAGCCATTATCACAGTTCTGTGACACATCCCAGCCAGGCAAAAACCCTCAAGGAGTATTATAAGGGACCGGGCCTGGGGAAAGTAGGTGTGGCTTGGGAAAGAGTCTCAAAGGCCAAATGAAGAGTCTGGAGGGGGAAGGTGATGGTGCAGGCTGGAGGTCCCTACCCCAGTGTTAGAGACATCCAGTCCCCTGCAGATACTCACTTCCCTGTACGTAATGAATGAGCCCTAGCTACTGCTTCAAGATGGGTTTTGAAGCTATCAAGAAGGAAATCCACCCCTCACTTCTGGAAACAGCTATTGTGGGAGGGACCCATGCTATGGCCACAAAATCTAAGAGTTTTTAAAGAGAGAGAGAGAGAGAGAGGCAATCTGTCCTGTGCAATTTGAGTCTCATCCCTTTTAAAACCAAAATTAAAAATGCAGCAACATTATGTACTCGGCCCTATGGCTACGATAACTTATTTATTTGCTAATTTACTTAGCAGAGATGGTATAATAGCTGTGATCAACAGAGAGCAGCAGTGTAACAAAATGCATGAATATTTTATCTAAAAACATACATTTGTGCACACAGCTGGTGTGGAAGCGTGCCCAGTGGGGGCTGGGTAGGGGACTTCTGCAGTAATGGATACAACCCAGATTCTGTAAGATAGCAACTTCCTTCCCAATGCAGACTTTTTCCAGGGTATCAGCAACTCCCAGCCCCCATGTTTACAAAAGCAAAGCTTTTAGTCTACAAGGCTGTTGTTGATGGAAATACTAAAAATCTGTCTCTGCACAGAAGCATAGCTTCAGACTAGAGTGTGGAGGGGCTCATAACATCATCATCATCAACACCACCAGCAATATATGCATTTCATAATAATAATGATTTTATTTATATCCTGCCCATCTGGCTGGGTTTCCCCAGCCACTCTGGGTGGCTTACAGCATATATAAAACCACAACATCAAACATTAAGAAACAGGATATCCTATACAGGCAGCAAACTGTTATTGCGTGACCAGGCGTGACAGCCCCAGCCCCCAGGGATCATAAGAAAGGAATAAAGACTCTGACAAAGTTATGGAATTAAAAATTAGGCCACAATTTTATTAAACTTCCGAATGTAGGAAGATCTTGGCTTAGGCCTTGGGTATGTATCCCTCCCAGCCCCCCAGCCAGGGGAACTAGGGCACATCAGGGTAAATGGGATATGGAGGTGCTCTGTGAGACATAAGTGTAGCAGGCAGCCCAGCCCATATCCCCACATGCAGGGTAGTTCACTGACAATCTTTCAGTGTATGGCCAGTGACACCCATTATATAACCCGTTTAAGAAGGGACCCTGGAATGGCCGCTGCAGTGGGGTGAATCACCACTTCATGCCCCTTCCCCAATTATAGGGAAGAAAAGACTAAAGGATTCCACTCAAGACCATAACCGACAAAGTTGTGATGAATTGCTATGGGGAAGACAAAAGCTGCCAATGCAGGAAAATTTCTTCTTGGTCCTTCAACAGCAACCAGTCAAAGGCTGTAGCAGCGCCCGCTAAACAGGAAGAAAAAGTTAACCTGCAAACAAGAAACATTAAACAAAGGGAGTGTAGGGAGGGTGAATCTCCAGAGCTGACTGGCTGGCTATCGTAGGCTCCACCCCCTACTTATAAATGGGGCAGGCCCCACTTCCCAGCAAGAAACTTGATTACTGAGGCTGGGTGTGAACCTCCAAATAATAACGCTGAGAGGCAAGCCAGCCCCCCTTCTACTAATAAGTTCCCTGGGAACTGTAGCACCGCGTGCAATCCCACAAAGGGCACCCACACTACAAAGTGTGAGTGCTCACTGTCTTCCACAGTGGCTCACATCTATATATAGAGAGATGGGAGCACTGCTATCAGCAGCATGAGCAATGGGGGTTGGTGCCCAATGGAACTGGAAGGGCAGAAGGCAGGGAACCCACTGGTAGGTGGGGCCAGAGCCAATGACAACCAGGCAAACTAATTCTAGCGCTGTCCTCGTCCTCCTCACTGCTAGTGTTACCAGAGCCATCTTAAGCATATGCGGCGCCAGGGTGCGAAGATCCACTGACACCAGGCTTATCTCTGCTCAGGAAAAGAAAACAGGAAATAAGAGGAGCCTGGCGCAACAAACCAGCCTGAGGCATCAGTGTTGGTGACTGAGAAAAGCCAGGCACCTTGTGGCGTGAGCAGCTTGAGCTGGGAGGGCCTCTCCATGGCCCTATGGCAATCCCAGGCGCACAGGAGGACGGAGCCGGCCAGCCACCTCAGCATCTCGCTGGCTGGCTCACCCCCGAACCTGCGGCACAGAGCTGCCCGCAGCAGAAGAGCCTGCTGCAGTGCTCTGACCGATGGCTGGGCTCTTCTCCGGACTCCAATTCTTGGGCCCCAGACTCTTGGCCTGGCACCCCTGAGAGCCCGGCGCTCGGGTGCCCCGCACCGCTGGTGCCTATGGTTAAGACAGCCCTGAGTGTTACAAAGGCAACTGAGAAGCTAAGGAAAAAGGAAGCTGACAGCCAGAATCATCCCATAGGCTGAATGTAGACAGAATGAGGCCTTGAATGAAGGCTTACTGAGCTTGGTGGGACAGTGCCCCATTCATCCTAATGGACCAGACCCAACTGCATACAAGCTTAAAAATACAAAACAGAGAAGGAAAGGGGAGTGGAGCAAAAAGGTAGAAGAGGAAGATCTGATTCTTCTAGGCCAGAACAAGGTTGTGAGCTGTTAATTGGGCTTTTATATTCATTTGGGACCAGGCTGCCCTTACCTTGCTGGTCAGACCTAAGAAATGTCCCACTGAACCCAGGTCAAAGGCCCATCTAGTCAATCATCCTATTCTAACAGTGTCCAACCAGATGCCTTTGGAGAAGACCTGAATGCAATGGAAATTTTAAAACTGTTTTTCAATGGTTTTTCAATGGTTTTATTTTAGGTTAAATCGTACTCTTCTAACAGCCTTGTGGTTGTTGTTTTTTTAACCATCTTGGGCTCCGTTGAGGGGAAAGTCAGGATATAAATTAAAGAAACCAGCAAACTATTAAGGAACATAGTTCAGTGGTAGAGTCTCTGCTTTATATGCAGAAGGTCCATGGTTCAGTTCCCAGCATCTGCTACAGCTTGGGGTGGAAAAGGACTCCTGGCATGTACTGCAGACAATAACATGCTAGATGGTTCAATCAATGGCTTGACTTAATCCCTGGATAAGGGATTAAGAAACAAGGCCCTCGTTTCTTTCTCTTTCCTCTCCCTCTCTCCCCACATACTCTAGGGCAAGAGTGTTATCAAATAAATAATTTAAAAGCACACCAACCTCTGCCCCCCACTTCTGCATAGCACATTAAGTTATTTCTACCACCGCACTAGGGATTTTCTGGCTTGTTTTAACTTTGCAGATTAAGAGGATGGTGGTTTATTAAGGGTGCGCCTTTCGCCTTGTAACGGGAGGAATCCATCCTGTAGACATCTCTCCAGCTCTTCAATTTTTTAGCAAGAGGTGCTGGGGAATGATGCTTGAGCACTTGGGCATCTATTTGTGGGTTTTATTTTCAGAATCCAATTTTGAGAAAGAGAGAGAGAAAGAAAGCAGCCCAAGTGAAAGTTGCCTACCCCAGCTCCCTTCCAAATATATATATATATAAAGAAATAACAAAAGTAAAATCTCAGTTTAATTTAGTCCATTTGGCAAGTCTGCAGGGAAACATTACCACCGGCTCTCACCTCATTTTGGAGGCACCTCTTTAATTTTTGATAAGCACTAGTAATAACATAGGCACTTGATCATGCGGCAGAGAGAAATGTGATGGTGAAGCAGCCATAAAAATGCCAACAAAGGGGGTGGAGGCAGGGGAAGCAGAGGAGTAACTTCACAATCAGTGCACCCATTTGCTCTCACTCTTTTTCTTCCAAGGAAACTTTTTTTTTGGTCAAAACAGAACAGCAAACTCCTTATTTTATGGACTGAGTAGCACTGGAGGCTGATATGCTTGGGCAAACAGGGTTCTGCCAACATCAAAGCTCAACCTGTCCTCAGCCAGCTTTCACCTACCTAACTCCTTAAAAACGAGATGTAAAGGGCATCGTTTTCCATTCCACCCTGTAGTTGACACATGCCACATTGTTTCTGTGCCACTGCAGGTCATCTTCCACACTCAAAAACCTGCATTTTTTTCATTGCTATTCGCTGTGGTGAGATTAAGCAATTTACATATCTTTTAAAATTATTATTGAGATGCAAAATCAAGCATAGAACAGATTTATAGCGGAAAACAGGTATGAAATATCAACGTGAAGACAAAAAGGGGGCTAGAAACATCAGTAATACATTTAAGACTTGTGAGATAATAGAAATTGCAACAAGTCTATTAAAACAAAAACAACCGTAGAGGTGGATGTTTTCCAGGTAGATGAGCCGCATTTTTTTACCAAAACCTTTGTTTGTGAAGCTCTACGTGTATTCATGATTTATTATATTATCCACATCCATTTATAGACCTCGAGAGGTCAAAAACGTAAGAACAAATTTCTTCCTGTTTGGTATGATTTTACTGTCTATGTTAGTAATGCAGAACGTAACCAGTAATTTACACAATGCACATAATTAATTGTGTAAATTACATGTTACATTGTCATTACGTGATTTCACCCCATTCGTTTCAATGCAATAGAAATAAAATGCAAAAGGGGGGGTGGGGGTGGCGGCAGCCATCATCAATTACATTTCGTTTGCAGATTGAAAGCAACAAAAGTGAATGCTGCTCATATTTGCTGTACTGATTTCCATTTCAGACATGGAATAAGTAAGTGAGCACGGGCAATTCCCATCTCCACCAGAATTCTCTGACTTCCCTGCTCTTCACTTAGGACCAACACAGGAGCTAACACGGCTTATCAGCCTCCTCCTCCTTAGCCCCTGCATTGCCTTTGTAGAATTCAGCAGGGAGGGAAATGGGGTCCAAACCAGAATTAGTTGGGTTCACCTGCTGTTGACTCTGGCTCCCCTTGGCATTGGCTCCTTCTCCCGCTACTGTCGGCCTCCCTTGCCTTCTGCCCTTCCCATCTCAAGGGGCACCATCCTCCACAGTTGAGAAGTGCAGGGAATTTCTCAACATGGAGTAAGGTAAAGGTAAAGGGACCCCTGACCATTAGGTCCAGTCATGACCGACTCTGGGGTTGTGGCGCTCATCTTGCTTTATTGGCCTAGAGAGCCGGCATACAGCTTCTGGGTCATGTAACCAGCATGACTAAGCCGCTTCTGGAGAACCAGAGCAGCGCACGGAAATGCCGTTTACCTTCCCGCTAGAGCGGTACCTATTTATCTACTTGCACTTTGATGTGCTTTCGAACTGCTAGGTGGGCAGGAGCAGGGACCAAGCAACAGGAGCTCACCCTGTCACGGGGATTCGAACCATCGACCTCCTGATTAGCAAGTCCTAGGCTCTGTGGTTTAACCCACAGTGCTACCAGAGTACATTGAAGCCTTCCCCACCCTGTGACCATTCACTTGTTTTGGACTGCAACTCCCACCAGCCCCAGGCACTGCATGGCCAGAGTCAGGGATGATGGGGGTTGTGGTCCAGGTTGGGGGAATCTGAGGCATCCAACAGCAGTGGCTTTCATGCTGTGGCTTCCCATCTCCAGAAATGAATGAGAAGATAAATGTCATTCATAGGTTATGAAAGGGAAGATGAACATGTTGCTGAAATTCTTATGGATGGGATGCAGGGTTTTTGCTGGCTGCTTTTAAGGTGGCCAAGAGATGTTTGTGGGCACATTTCCTTGCATTCTAAAATCCTCTTTTTGGTGGTCTGCTGGGGAAACTTTTCAGCCTGAGGGACACCTTCCTTTCTGGGCAAGTTTCCAAGGACAGTGGGGAGCAGGGACAGAGGCAAAAGTGGGTGGAACAATGAATGCGATGTTACTTTTGCACAGGTTTTGTTTCCTCCATGGAGGGAAGAAAACAAAGAGGCATTATTAGAGTTCAAGGCTGCATTCCAGACAGGCAAAAGCCCTTAGGGTACAGAGCAGGGCCAGTGGAGTCTGTGGCCTGGGGAGGGGCTCAAGGACCAGATGGGGGAGGGGCTTGCAGGGCCACAGTTGGCCCCTGGACCTGAGCTTTCCTTTCCCTGGTCTGCCCTCTGCAGTTTCTTGGATGCCTGAATTCTCTGGAATCCGCACAACATCCAACATACAGGGAAAAGGCAGGATAGAATCTAGGTAGAGCCTTTCTCTTCCATGTGCTTATTTTCCATGTTTAAATGTTTTAAAATGCTTAAGTGAAGAGAGTTCTTTTGTCCTCTTTTGCTGCATGTTGAAGGCTCAGCCATCCTGTTTGACAAAGGTTGGCTTGCGTTCGCCCAGAGTTCCCACAAAACGCAGTGAATCCTCCTTTTGTTACAGCCTCCTCGGAAGACGGAGGACAGCATCCCTCAAAATGCCAATACTGATACTTGGTATTCGATAGACATCAGCTCGTACAAACTGCAGGGTAACCATTTTTCACTAATAGGGGATTTCAGAAGGCTTACGAGTGTAATAAATTGCAATGCAAGAGCATTTATTATTGTTTGGGGAGGTAACAAATCCTGCAAAAGGGACAATCAGGCTGATAAAGCAGGGAGGGGAAGCAGGGGAGAACTCAGACTTGAGGAGTCCAGATTAAAATTAATGCTGCCAATCCTCTCCTTTCCATTTCATTTGCTAAAGTTTCCGTTCTCTCCAGCGTGCCATTACAGACGCTGACAATTGTAGCGTGACAGCACTCACAATGTGCAGTGGGCTTCAGTTGTTAATGCCTTTTGCAATGTTACTGAAAAGAGGTGGCATGGATTTTCAAGGGCTCAGCCTGTATCAGGGATGCAGAACCTGGGGCCTTCCAGATGTTGTTGGACTCCCACCAGCTCTAGCCAGCATGGCCAATGCTCAGGCATAATAGGATTGATGGTCCAACATCTGGAGGAGTGCCAGTATATTCTCAAAGCAATCTAAATTAGTCTCATAAAACACATCCTTTTTAGCCTAGACCATGTCTATTGTGGTCTGTGACCAAACATGACAACCAGTGCTGATTTGGAATTCACTGATATGCAAAATTAACCAAACTTTTTTAAGAATTAGAATCTGACATTGGAATCTCTCTGGTGAGGCAGACATTGACATTGACATTGACATTGACATTGACACTGGAATCTCACAAAGACTTGACATTTCAGTGCCAACCTCAACCGGTCCTACCTATTTTCTTTTAAATCCATCATGACAGCCATCAAAATGCTAAAATCTACCATCTAAAATGGAGACTATGACATGTAGGGGAGCAGATCAATGAAGAGTTCTCAGCAAGTTAAAGTGAAGGTTCCTATGAAAAGCAAAACCTTTTCAGAGCTGTAGGAAGCTGCCCAGTCAAGAGAGAAAGAAGAGGAGACAGAAGTAAAAAAAATACAGCATGGACATTGTCCAGGCCAAGTCACAATCTGACCAGGAAGCCTTTGAAGGCCTTCTAGGTCAAGCAAAACCCATGACCAGCTGATGTGGCAAAAGCCCTTTTCTGCTCATGAATGCTCTTCACGTTGGCAGAACTTCACAGGCCCATGGGTTTCAATTCAAGCTTCAGCAGCTCTCATGAAAGATATTCCAAATATTGCCATCTTAATTTTTTAAGTGCATTTCAAAGATGTAAGTGGGACAGTTTAGCAATTTTAGACTCTGGATTTCACAGGCTTACTGGGATGGGGAGGTCACTCTCGAAACAGACGGATGGCAACTGGGATGTCAGGGGGATGTTGGAGGAAAGCTCCCCTCCCCCTCATTATTTCCAATGGAAATATTTCTAATCTGGCATTTTTTCAATCTCTCCCCTGCATTTTCAATGTTTTTTCCCCCCGAAATGGGAGCAGCCAACCAGCAAGACACACAAAGTGTGTGTGGGGGGATTATTTGTCGGATCTCTTCTGATTCCTGATTTGCCAACCAGTAAAGCAGAAACAAGGAAATAAGGAAGTATTGATGTTTGGATAACTGAATATGCTGTGTTTATACTGAGGTTTGGGCATAATTCTTTACATGCAGATGAGTGAATTTTTGCATAGTGAGTTGGCAGAGAGCAGGACCTGCATGTACTAATATCACTGCAAACAAAAACTGTCTGATACTAAATACCTTTGTGCATCAAGAAACAGTCATAATTCAAATAACACTACACACCAATGAACAACAACAACAACAACAACAAAAATCCAGATAATGAATGCTACTGAACAGGAACCAGCAAATACTGTCCAACACACAAAAACTAAAAAAAAACACCATTGTACACCAGTGACCAAACAGTGTAACTGACTATCACCAAATATCAGAATCTGGGAATATTCAGTGAATATTCAGAGAATATTCCAATATTCCCAAAAGGAAGGTGCAGGTGAGAAAGTTGCTGGGGTCCCTTGAAGTACTATGCAGTTATTCTTCTGACAAGGTGTTTGTTTCAGAGAGCCAGAAGTCCAAATGTTACCTTTTGATGCTGTTTCAAAAGCCTTAAACATTTCTTGCTGAGTGTTCCAGGAAGCAATCAAGCAGTAGGCTGCTGAGAAGCACCTTGATTCTGCCAAGCAGTAATTAATGAGGTCCTTAAGGGGTTTGTATGATGACAGCAGAAACAATAAATAAATAAATAAATAAATAAATAAATAAATAAATAAATGCACTAATGAGAATGAACGCTTTATCATAATGGAAGGTAATGACTGAGGGCAGGATGATAAATTCACTGGGAATTTTTTAAGCCTCAGCAACATAATGAGTTACCTCTAAGGATTTAACAAATAAATATTATTTTTTTAAGAAGGAAAAGAAACAACCCACAAAAGCTTTTCACTTTCACTTTGTTATCTGACACATGTTTTGCCTTCCTCGGCTCTTTGGTTTACAATTCATTATCTAGACAAATTCTCATCACCAAGGATATTTGGTCATTATGTCATTATGGATATTTCCTTGCCGTGACTCTCAACAGCTCAGCATCAGAAATTACTGTAGGGAGGAAGAATGGGAGGAGGGAATCAGAAGTGAAGAGGAAAGGATGTCAGGTGGGCTGGGTTCTTGTCTTCTGTGTGGTGGCACCCACTTTTTGGAATTCCCTCCCATTAAGTATTAGACAGGCTCCATCTCTCTTGTCTTGTTGGCAGCTGAAGACCTTCCTCTTTCAACAAGCCTTTTAATCAGAAATCTTTCCCTGTCTGCATCTGCACTTGAATTGTTTTTAAGATAGACTCATAGAATTGAAGCATTGGAAGGGACCACGAGGGTCATCTAGTCCAATGCCCTGCAATGCAGGAACCTTTCATCCAACATGGGGCTCAAACCCGTGACCCCAAGATTAAGAGTCTCATGCTCTGTTGACTGAGCTATCTTTTAAATAAGTTTTTATTGCTTTATTGCTTGCATTTTTGCTGCCCTGGGCTCAGTTGGAAGGAAAGGTGGGATATAAGTGAAGTCAACCAACCAACCAACCAACCAACCAATCAGTATCCAGGATTTCCTCTGTAAGCGCAGAAAAATGATCCACCCTCCTGATTGGGTCACTTGCCGTTCTTGCATGGTGATGATGTAATTGCCATGTATTAGTGAAGCCTTCCCCAAACTTCACTCTAGAGCTGGGTTCTTCAGTCTTGGTTTTTCAGATGTTGCTTGACTTAAACTCCCACCAGCCCCAGCCAGCACAGAGAATGGTCATGGTTGATGGGAGTTGTAATCCAGCATCACTTGGGGATCGAAGGTTGAAGAGCACTGCTCTAGATGTTGTTGGGGCTCCAACTCCCATCAGCCCCAGCCAGCAGGGTCAACGGTCAGGGATGATGGGCATTGGAGTTCAGCGACGGCTTCAGGGCTTGGGGAAGGCTGTAGGGTAAAGGTAAAGTGACCCCTGACCATTAGGTCCAGTCATGACTGACTCTGGGGTTGCAGTGCTCATCTCGCTTTACTGGCCGAGGGAGCCGGCCTACAGCTTCCGGGTCATGTGGCCAGCATGACTTAGGCACTTCTGGCGAACCAGAGGATCGCACGGAAACACCGTTTACCTTCCTGCCGGAGCGGTACCTATTTATCTACTTGCACTTTGACGTGCTTTCAAACTGCTAGGTTGGCAGGAGCAGGGACTGAGCAACGGGAGCTCACCCCTTCGTGGGGATTCGAACCACCGACCTTCTGATCGGCAAGTCCTAGGCTCTGTGGTTTAACCCACAGCACCACCCGCATCCAGTGTACAAATCTCAGTGGCAGTCTCACTACTTAAAATTTTGTCTAATGCAGTGGATAGTATGTCAGACTAGGAATGGAGACAGCCAGGCTGCAATCCCTGCTTCAGACATTAAGCTCACTGGGTGATCTTGGACCACTTACTGTGAGCCTACCTCACAGCGTGGTTATGAAGCCAAAATGTGTGTGTGTGTGTGTGTGTGTGTGAGAGAGAGAGAGAGAGAGAGAGAGAGAGAGAGAGAGAGACCTTGGATGGTCTGGAAGGAAGAGGTATAAATGCAATTTAAAAGCCACTTACTGGAAGCTGGGTGGAGGGGGCAAGTATAGTTTGGATGGTTGCCTTCCCATTAGGTCTGAGCATCCTTGGATGTATCTCACATGCATGTCTGTCAGCAGCATCGTGGTCCTCAGACTCTGTAATGGCATGGAATGTGGCCCTTTCCACAAAGATACTAGAAAATTGTTTGAGGAAGGTCTCATTCTGCACAGCAAGTGATCCAAAAGAAAAACAGACTCTCCATGCCCAGGTTATGAAACTGCTCACCCCTTTCGCAAATACTTTGAGAAAGGGTCTTCAGAACCATCAAAGTGATACATCCCTCTGTTGCTAGGTTGCCACAACACAACACGAGGCATGGGTAGGAGAGAGGGAAGAGACAGTCTTTTCCTGGACTGGGCTAGCCTTCTGTGGTCTCCAAAATCTCTGGCAATCCTCCTCCCTAGGGTCCTTTCAGCTGGAGTCACCAGGGATTGAATGTAGAATCTTCTACATGCAAAACATGGACTCCACCACTCTGCTTGCCCACTCAGCTATACTCTCTCCTTTCCTCTCCAACCAAAAAATCTTTTGCAACCCATAGACATTGCCTTATTTTCACAACTGCCTGCTCTCTTCCTAGAAGTTGGAATAATCATGCACATTCTGTGACATCACTGAAGCTCAGACACTGCTGGGGAGGAGTTGACAAGTAGTTTTTTTAAAAAAAGTGCTTATTACGTATATATGGTTTTGTCTTTTGTATTTCATACTGAAACTCCAGCAAATGGTCTACATTCTTTCCATGGAGCCATGAGCTTGTCTTGACTGTCTTCCAGGAGGATTTTTGCAGCATTTCTTCTAAGCCACAGCTTGACGACCAAGAGGTAAAAATGATACTTAAGCCTTCGTATGTAGCGGAAAAGACAGTGATACCATAAGCCAGCCCAGTCAACAGAGCCCCACGGGCAACTTTACAGCTGCTGTAGCAGCATGAGCAGTAGATGCTGGAGAAACTTCAGAATTGGCCAGAATCGAGATGAGCCAGCCTGTTCTTGCCACAGATGCTGCTTGCTTGTGAGCGACATCACGGAGCGATGCTTTTCGATCCGGCGGCTGCCAAGTGCCGCAGCCACCATATGTGCCCACAGTTGCTGCCTTTGCCTGCCAGATCAGAAGCAAGGAGGATAAGGCGAGGGAGCCTTTCTCCCCAGGATGCAAGGAACAACTGTGACAGCTGAGATGTCTGAGCCAGTCTGCAACAGAAACAGGACTGGGAAGCTGGAGGCTGAAAAGGGGAGGAATTCTCAGGACTGCTGAGAGCTGCAAAGCAGCTTTCATCAGTGAGGTGTGATCAGTTTCCAGCCTGAGGGCCACATAATAATAATAATAATAATAATAATAATAATAATAATAATAATTTATTATTTATACCCTGCCCATCTGGCTGGGTTTCCCCAGCCACTCTGGGCGGCTTCCAACAAACTATTAAAATACAGTAGTCTGTTAAACATTAAAAGCTTCCCTAAAGAGGGCTGCCTTCAGATGTCTTTTAAAAGCCTGGTAGTTTGAGAGGGCATTCCACAGGGCGGGTGCCACTACCAAGAAGGCCCTCTGCCTGGTTCTCTGTAACTTGGCTTCTCGCAGTGAGGGAACCACCAGAAGGCCCTCGGCATTAGACCTCAGTGTCCGGGCAGAACGATGGGGGTGGAGACGCTCCTTCAGGTATACTGGACCTTCTGGGCAATGTTTTGAGGGGCACATGCCAGTGATGAGTGAGGCCAGAGGCAAAAGTGGGCAGTATGCTAGTTTTTACACACACTCACACAACCGTCTCCATCCTTCATCCAGGCAAGCAGGAGGCATTCAAGGATACATTCCAGCCTAGCAAAAGTGCTCAGGTTGCAAGGCAAGGCCAGAGAGGGGCGTGGCCTAGGGAGAGTTCCAAGGACCAGAGAGAGAGGCATGGAGGGCCACATTCAGGCATTCGAAAAGAGTGTCCCCACCCGCACCGAGATGCAGTCTGTAATGGTGCCGCCCATTCACCTTAATGAAAATCGACCCAATTCACTCTTCTCTTCTCAAAGCAATATACTAATCTTCAAAACTCACACTTCTCCTAATTTTGCCATGCAGTTCTTTAACCCAATGATTTGTAGAACAATGCATATATTAGGGAAACGTGTACATGATAATGCATACATTGGTAAAAATAATTCATAAAAATGCTTTCACACTAAGATACTCGTGAATTTACATGAAGACTTAAAATAAATAAATAAGAAATTGCCACAGAAATGTAGGGAACTGAGTGGAAAAATGAGAAACTGAGAGAAAGCAAATTGACCGTCCACCTGTACTCAGAGTTCCACTATTTCATTCTACTGCATCAGCAGGTCTTCCACAGGCCCCACTCTGTTCTAAATTTCCAAAATCTAACTTTGAGGGAAAAACTTGGTACGTAACACAGGGGACCTAAATTTTTTAATATAGAGTTGGCAGCACTTAGCTTGCCTGAATGCACAGAGCAATTCTGACTTCTTAGCAGATGGCTGCATCAAACTTTCCCTTTGACTCTTTCTCCCTCTGTCTCACTCTCTCTGTGATTCCGAACAAGGATATTGCCAGGTAATCAGCTTGGCAGGAGATTAACGTTCAAATGAAGAAGAAATTTTTTAAAAGAGCCCGGCTGGAACTGCAAAGCTAAAGAGAAAGCAGGGAGCTTCCCTTTATCTAGTCATATCCTGCTAGCAAAGGCATTTTTTTTTTTTTAACCACTGACACATTATACACCTGGATTTTATCAGTACGACACATTAGAGCTCCCGCCATGCCTTATCACCAGGCATGGCAGAGAAACAGATACACTCAGCACTAAGAAGGTGTTTCAAAGCACATTTTTAGTAGGTGTCCTCGTACCAGGCTGCTGTCTGATTTTTATCCCTTCCTCTCTTTTTTTGGACCAAGTACTATAAATCGCAATTGACTTTCACCAAGAGAAGGTTCCTGAGCTGCCCATTAACATCAAGTAGTCTGAACTGCTTTTCTTTCTGTAATCTAACTGGGGCTGAGTCAAAACTATTCAGTTATTCCACAAACTTTTCCTTCCATCAAAATCACCCCGACTTCTTTTTCAACCGCTCCCAGCTGCTGCCTAGAATTTTCTGTTTTGCCTGTTTGAACACAATGTCATCACTTGCTCTCACCTGACTTTGCTCTGTGATGTCACTGTGTAGTCAGAGCTGAACGGCTATGTAGTACTTGCAATGTCTTCCCAGTGCACTGACACATGGGCAGATGGAGTGGCCTAGCACGGGTTGCCAGCACCCAGGGCAAGGCAAGCATTGCAGCCCCTAATCTTGTGGACGTTGTATGGGGTGCCCCCTGGAGGCAACAGGTGGACTCTGCTGCACCCCTGTGGTAACCCCTCTTCAGATGGGTCACCTGCCACCTGCTGGTTCTCTTGTTCACCCTTTCAGCTCTGCAAGTTCCCAGTAGCAGCAGCAGCTTGTGCTCTCTGGTGGGCTTGGTGGTGTCCCAGGAGTGCTGGAGCCCCAGCTGCAGCAGGCATAGTAGGATGGTGCTGGAGAGCAGGTAGAGACACAAAGCACATCCCTTCCCTGACCACCTCTCATTGGCTGTGCAGCGTGAGGGGCTCATGTGAGGTGGGCACTGGCGGGTTCTGGGCATGCCGGCAGCTCTCCTCTCCATGCTCCTGCTGCTGGGTGCATGCCTTGCCCAAGGACACATGCCAGGAGGGAAGCCCCAGGGAAGGACTGGCACAGGCTGGGGAAAAGTTTGGGCTTTGCCGGGCAGGAATTCTACCCTCTCCAGCCCCAGCCACAAAGCCAAAGGTGCCTCAGAGCTGCTGCCTCCTGGCCACTGAGTGGGAGACAGGAGTCTCGCA